GGGGGGGGGGGTATGAAAGTGGTATTGCATTTGTATGGTGTTTAGCTTGGCAAACCCGGTCAATCAAAACATAATTTCAACTCCTGTCATGTAACATTAATCAGTTGCATGGTTAAATTATAAATTAAAAAAGATGTTATACCATTTGGGCTTTACACACTTTTTGAATCATACAACACCTTGATTTTTTGGGGGGGAAAATCTTAAAAATCTTTTGTTTGTGGTACATGTTGGGTCAGTTCTGGGATTGGATAGTGACTGTGTGCCGTCTTGTTTTGTCTGGACGGCTGTTTTCCCTTCACAGCACCAGCAGCTTGGGAACTCTGTAGTGGTATTTACATTGCGGTGTAGGAATGTTGAATTTCACAATGAGTTGTCAGGGCTTAGAATACTTCTGATTTGCAGAGACTGCAAATAATACTCTGTCGAGTACTAATGGATAGCTGTCTGTGCAGGAACGACTCCTGCTGACATCAGGGGCTGAGATCTTTCTGGAAATAAAGGACAGGCTCCCCGTTCTGGGTGCCCGTGGGGCCGTTTCTGTCACATACAGCAGACTTTGTGTGTGTGGCCATGGACGAAATGAGTTACAGAACCGTTTTTGTGTGGAATTTACCCTTGGAGTAATTCTTGTTAAATACTACAGTGACATTGTCCATACATCAAAATGTATATTCGCATGACATTTACATTATGGTTGGAAGTACGATGATTGATGAAGCATATAAAGATACGGTGGAATTACTTTTTGCTACAGATTACAATCTACCTAAGACTGACAAAATGGGAGAATTATCTGGAAGATCAAATACATGCTCACCTTAGTTTTGTTAACACTTCTGTCCTGAGTCCAGCGCAGGGAGATATGAATGAATTATGCATGACAGGCAAGAATGCATGGCTGAAAAATCAAAGATAATACTAGTTGTCTTAATGTTCTCCAGTCAATTAATTGTTAAAAATAAGAATCAAAGATTTTGTCTGGTTTCCGTGCTTAGCCAGTAACACAAAATGCAGGAATAGAGATTTTTTTTACAAATAGCTGCAAGACAAGAGATTGTAAATTGATATCCAAGATTTATTAGGTATCGCAAGCCGGAACGGTTTAAGATGGAGGATTTCGCTCGACTGTAACAGTGTGAGATTGTTGATGCAACAAAGGCCGCACACCTGGCATCAGTCATTCCATTTAACGCAGTGGGTCTGTGTGTGTTAGGGTGTAGGGTCTCCGGTGTGGTCTGTGTGTGTTTAGGGTGTAGGGTCTCCGGCGTGGTCTGTGTGTGTTTAGGGTGTGGGGTCTCCGGCGTGGTCTGCGTGTGTTTAGGGTGTGGGGTCTCCGGCGTGGTCTGCGTGTGTTTAGGGTGTGGGGTCTCCGGCATGCTAAAGTATGTCTATTCTCATCTGTCCATTTTTCGTAAGTTACCTGTGTTGTTCTTTAATCACCATTCCACATGCTGGCCAGTGATATTCCTCTGTTAGCGTCCGGTTCCTTGTGATATTGAGAGATCACATGTTCTCCTTTTTAAGGGTGTTTCAGTTCACCTCTGTGAGAGATCGTAGCATATTGGAGAGATTTAGGCACCTCAGGGCTACGCCTGAGCCCCCAGATTTCTGCACGATTTCACACCTGCTACCTGCCGCTGCTACGATGGCTATGTAGCTAAGCCCTTTGGTACATTTTAGATGAATAGTCTTTGCAGCTGTCTGGGTATCCAAGATATATGGAGACTTTCATGTAAAAATGGGTGCTCTCTGAGCTCCTTTCAGTACGATATTGGTGTGCTGTAAACGGCTTTGGTTGGCTGCTTTTACAGTTTCTAAGGCATTAAGGCATTGTGTCCTTCAGCGCTGGCGTAAAGGCTGCTCGGCTTCTCGGTCGGACTCTGCGAGCACCTCTTAACCTGTCATCTCCCCACGCTTGTGTCTCTCTATCCAGGATGGAGAGGATAAGTGAGGAGGCTCTGAGGCTGAACATGTTGAAGCGAGGTCTGGAGGTGCCCGAGGAGCGAGAGGAGGTGCTGGCCAAGCGACTGAAGATGGAGGGTCATGAGGCCATGGAGCGCCTGAAGATGCTCGCCCTACTGAAACGCAAGGACCTGGCCGGCCTTGAGGGGGGGCCGGGGCACCTGGGCGAGCCTAAGGGGTCCACAGGCAGCGCCATCCAGGGGTCCACTGGAACCATTGGGTATGAGGAGCGGCTCAACGGAAGTTTGCGTGGTGGAGTCGGCGGCCACGGCGGTCATGGGGGCCATGGGGGGCATGGAGGCCTGGGGAAGAACGGGAAGGAGAACATGGCGGATGAGCCTGTGGACATGAGCACCAGGAGAGGGTGAGTAGTGGGGGGGGCAGCCAGTGTATTTTGCCCCAAGCAAAGGGCAAACTTATCCATCTTTCATGACTTTGGAAGGGCCTGGATCATTCCTGTCTCATGTGAGCCTGTAGCCTATTCTAAGGAGCACAGGGCATGAGGCGCTCAGGCAGGCTGTACAGAGTCGGCCATTTGCATAACCAAGCGTGTCTGCGTGGGGAAACCCTGCAAACGTGGACAGAACCGGGGGGGGGGGGGGTTACCCACTGAGCCGCCCTACTGGCGAAATCTCAGCTATCAGTGGATCGGGTTTCCAGTTTCACTCATACTGTTTGTTCAGGAACTTCAGCTAAAGGACAAAGAGGTTGGACAAGGAGGGCCGTGATGCCTGGGGGGGCCAGTAGGAGAGAGTTACGATGGTTTACACCAGTCGTTCTCGAGCTGATCCTGGGGCCCTCCTAACCAGTCCATATTTTATTCGAAGGATGGGGGGATTTTATCATTTAAATGGGGGGTAGCAGCCATTTCTGCCAGCTTTTGAGCAAGAAGCAGTTGGGTGATGCTATGGGGTTTTAAAGATGCTCATTTTCTTTTATAAAGTAAACCTGGCCAGTAGATCGCCCCCCGCTGTTGGTATGATGACAGTGACAGGGCTTCTTGACCCACGGTCTCTGAGGCTGAAACACATTTTAGGCTGGCTGTTTCACGCTCACAGAGCCTGTCCATCACAGTGTGGGCTGGCTAGCGGCAATAAGCGAATGGGTAACAGTCGTGAAAGAAGGTTATATTTTATGCGGCCCGTGAAACATGGACTATATAAAAAGTCCATTGTGCCGTTAATGTATTTGATATCCCTTTAAATAGTTAATTTTATTAGACTTGCCTCTTGTACTTGGTTGTCTGCCTGGCTGATTTTTAATTTTTTTTTTTTAATCCTACAGTTTTGGCACAGTTATGGTAGGCAGTTAGGGATGTGGTGTGGTGCTGTAAGGTCTTAACGACGCTACTTTGATAGTGCATGGACCAAAACACAATCCAATACTTAAAGAGAAATTGGTCTTAAACTAAAAATACAATTTAAATGACCCATTAAAATTAATAAAGTAATAGAACTTTTAAAAATGAAAATGGAATAGAAATTAAACATGAATCAAGACATGCTAAATAACCTTGGAGAAAAGGGAGTCTGCTGGCATTGGGATCTAACCCCCCCCCCCTTCACTCTTCCCCAGCAATGTGGACAGGGAGCGCCGCACGCCGTCCCCGGATGTGATCATCCTGTCGGATAACGAGGCTTCCAGCCCACGGGCGACACCCAGCGCAGAGGACAGGATCAGGGCGGCCAACCTGGAGATGTTCAAGGTAAGTAATGCAGGAGCCCCGGACCTTAAAGTGCTCTGAGGAATCGCCGGTATGTGTGATGATAATGACGGTGGTGATGATCTTGGTTGGAGAGAATTCCAAGCCTTATATATTATACAATAGCTCAGAATTAGTCAAGTGACTAATCTGCCGGTCTGAAGGTCTCTCTCTGCCCTGAGCATCTTTCTCTTTCTCTCTCTGAAGTGTTTTTTTTCTCAGTGATTAGAAACTGGGGGGTTTGGGACCTCTAGTGATCAGACCCGAAACTGTAGGGAATTTATCAGGCTGGCCCTTCTCCTTCCTCCCAAAATTTCAGTGCTGCCTTTTTAGGAAGCGGGCCCTGGCTTCTGCTGCTTATTAACCCACATGTTTTGGGGGGGGGGGGGGAGTTACTGGTATCTGTAAGATGACAGCCGGATACCCTGGCACCTGGTGAGCCCCGAAGTTAGTGGGCGCTGCATGGAGGGGAAGGTTTTCCAGTTTAAAGAACATTAAATATTTAGCCGGCTTTTATAAACTTTGGTAGCAGCTGTCGGGTGAATTCGGCGCTGAGCCGTGCCTGCGTCTCCCGGCGTGTCGTAGGGTAAGAGCGGCGAGGAGCGGCAGCAAATGATCAAGGCACTGAGGGAGGAGCTCCGCCTGGAAGAGGCGCGCCTGGTTCTGCTGAAGAAGCTCCGGCAGAGCCAGCTCCAGAAGGAGAACGTGGTGCAGAAGGTCAGTGTGACGCTGATGGGTCTACGGGGTGATGTGGACCTATAATCACCCGGGGGGTGTTGAGGGGGGGGGGTGAAAAGCTCATTCAGTGGGTCCCTTGGTCAAAGTCCTTACTCCCAAAAGCCCCAGGGGCAGCGGAGGTTGGACCCCACGCCCTTGCCTGAGTGTATGTGTGTGTGTCTGTGCCTAAATGAGATGAGCAGAACCTGAGGAATTCCTGTGTATCTTACTTAATCCATTTCATGTGTAGAAGTTGGTCTAATGAAGTAAATCCTTAATCACATTCGTTTGGGGATTAAAAATATATCCCTTGAGCAGGAATAATTTATTTCTGATTGCTGCCACCCCCCCACTCACCAGGTACCGGTGGTCCAGAACGCCAGCTCCTCTGTGCAGTCGTCCGCTGTGCACGGCTCCCAGGGCCTGGCCAAGCTCCCGGTGCGGTCCGGGCTGCACACGGCCGAACCCCAGAACCTCCGCACCGCGCAGGTGGGCCCGGCCCGCCTTCCCGTCCCCTGTGACCATCCGCTCGGATCTGTGAATCTGACATTTACGCTCATGTCTGCGCTCTCCCACGTCCACACCTGTTTCATACTGACGTCTGCGGCTACGCTTGTGAGCCTCCTCGCGGTTTTGACCGTCCGGTCGTCTTCGGTTGGTGCGTGTGGCCCTGGGTGTCTCTTCAGAGGTTGCTGGAGGTCACTGAGCTCAGTGTGGGAAATGCATTTGTTATGTGATAGTAACAGTATCATATATGTCTTACAACAGAGTGTATTTAGACCAGCAGTCTTTGCCATCTTTTACAAATTAGCATTTGACGTTTCTGTGGCGTTTTCACTCGTTCCGTAGCTCCGAGGCAGTTGGTTGTCTGATGCCCTCTAGTGGCCGTGAAGAGTACCAGCTTTCACATGACCTCATGGACTGATACAGCCCTTCTTCCTTTATTTATTTTTTTATTTATTTATCTGTCATTTGGCAGACATCTTATCTGGGGCGGCAAATTGTTCCGGGAGTGCAGAGGAGGATTAGACTGCAGAATGCAGCAAGCGAGGGCGTAGCCGTAGCGAAACCCAGATGGCACATTGTATCAGACACCTCGGACTGATCTGAGGAGAACATATTAAGCTGCATACTTAGTAAATACAATATATTATTATTTAATGTTAAAGGCACGCGGTGCTGTGGCTTTACACCTCCAGGTCTGTGGCTTCAGCTCTTTGTCTTGTCTATTCCAGTCAAATCTCTCTATGAAGAATAATTCAGTTTTTTTCTTTTTTTTTTTTGTATAACGCATTTTCACAACATTACATTGTCTCAAAGCACTATACACTATCCCTGCCCAAAGCCCCCAGAGAGTAAGCCAGAGGCGACAGTGGCAAGGAAAAACTCCCTAGTAGGAAGAAACCTTGGGAGGAACCAGACTCAGAGAGGGAGCCCATCCTCCAGGG